ACTTTCAGCGAAGTAACATTGTTTAATTAGTATAGTGTCAAAAAAATGGTATTTGTAATTTATGCAATCGAATTTAATTTTTAATGTTAAACACTATATTCCTTAATTAGGAGGCACTTAATTAAAAATTATTTGTAATTTACACAATCGAATTTAATTTTTAATATTTTTCAGTCATCAAATTACTTTTAGCAAAGTAATTTTGTTTACTTAGGACACTCTTAAAAAAAGGTTTTTGTAATTTACACAATCGAATTTAATTTTTAATGTTAAACACAAAATTCCTTAATTATGATGCACTTAATTAAAAATTATTTACAATTTACAAAATCGAATTCCATTACTAATAGTAAAACAATTAACATATATATTATTGAAAAATCAAAAAGAGGAAGGTAGATAAATTAAAGACAAATTCGTAGTTTTCTCGAAAAACCATTTATTTCATCGAATAAATATTCTTCTATCTATTGCATCTATCTAGGAATTACACATTATACATATAAGTATTGTTTGTTTTATTTTGTTTCATTCAGATACTGAGTACATTATTTCGATTACTCTTATTTATACGCTGACAAAAGGTAAAAACAAAGATTTCAAAAAAAAAAAAGAAAAGAAAATTTTTTTTTCATCTCTTTATCTACGTTTTAAAACGATGGCTTATAACGATAGTGTGGCTCATAGGTAGATGATTAGGTATTGCCAGGTAAGATTCTTAAATAAGATATCTTATAATTTTCACCTTACCAAGTCATAAATATTACTTGATCAGCGCGTGGTACAGGAGACTCAAAAATATAAATTAATAAATGTTTTTATTTTATATTTTTTTCGCAAAAACAATTATCTACTTTGAATGCTTTGGAAGCTGGAGAAATTTACGAACTGAAGATAACGCAATTAAGGATGGAATTAATTTTTTCAAAATCTGATAATTTTCAAAAAGTACTTTATATTTTTAAATGCAAAATTCTTTTCATGAATATTTGATGGAAAATATTTTATTACATTACTGGAAAAAGGAGGAGAAATCGAAAAAGGAAATTATAGATAAAGGGGAAGAAGGAAGGAGGGAGGACATGAGAGGATTTCTAAATACCTATTATTGGCCATTAATTTCATATCTACATGTTATACAGTGTTCCTAAATTAATCGAGTAGAAAGATTTGCGCTTTCGCACGCCTAAGTATCGGTTATCTCGTTTTATAAACGCCGGTGTTCCATTCGTCGATTTTTAAGAAGTAAAATTCGAATCCGAGTTCCTTTATTTTATTTTTATAATAATAATTATTTTACTAGTAATTATTATTACGTTTGTGTCTATTTTTTAGATTTTCAGATTCAGAAATTTTTTTTAAGTTTACGATTATTTTTTCATTTGTTAATTATTTACACAACTATCATGCTTATCGTTCACATACACAATTATTCGCAAACCACATTTACACATTCTCTCTCTCTCTCTCTCTTTCTCTCAATAAAAAAAGAAGAAAAAAAACAAATTTACTGTACACCGAGATCTGTCGGCCGTCGCGTTCTCGCCCACCGTCGAAAAAATTTTCTTTTTTAGAACAATTTTTATACGTACGTAAAATATTTCTTTATCTTTGACTACAAATATTTTTTGTTTAAATTAAAATTTGTTCATTAGAAAAACTATTACCTTTTTTTTACATTAGTTTTCTTTAATGGGAAAATGTAATCCCTGAGATATGTTGGGCTGTATCTACAATAGATGGTTAGGTTTATAATATTTAATTTTAAAGGCATGTGTATACTCGAATTTTTCTAAAATTCTGGTATGGTTTGTAAAAAATTATTTGATTGTAAAATATTTATTTTATAAAATTTAGTCATTTTTTAAACTTTTATTGTAGACACGGCCTGATATATGTAAAGTTCAAGCCAGTGCGACGGTAAACGCGATGGCATCTTAAAAATAATACCGTGACGCTAAGAACAAAAACCAGATTTTCAAGGTCTTCATAGTTACCAGTTTTTTTTTGTTAATTTTCCTTTTTTTAATGGCACATTATGCGAGACCTTTTCTGGTGTATAGCTCATCACGCCACACAGCGGCAATTCTCGTGCCACTTAGCAGAGTTCATGATTGCTAAAGCTTACATGCGATTTAAAGGGTGAACAGAGTGTAAGAAAGAATTGTAAACAAGCTTGCGCATTTTTCGATTCAATGGAAGATAAAAAAAAGATCGTGTCAATTATATATGCAGTTACCTGTAATTAGAAAATATTTTTAATTGTACATGTTAATAGCATAAAGGGCTCTAAGACCCCCGAACGTAGGCATGGCAGCAGGTTCCTAATAATTTTTTCCCGCCACTGACTGATGAGGCCATAACCTAAAAATTTTTATCAAATTGTTTGTTAAAAACTTTAATTTCGTTTCTTTCTTTTTTAAAGCACACAACATTCACCCTTTAGTGTTCTTAAAATACGCACGTTTCAATTACATAAATTACTATCACAGTTTCGGAACAAAACTAACACTTTTTTTTTGAGAAAAAAAATCTAACCTTGAATACTGCAGTAAAACAGTGCTTTTAACTTGTTATTTGTCACGACATTCATTGAATTACTCGTCAAAAAAATTTAATTATCCAGATAGAATGTAAATTTCTCTCTGCACAAAATGACTACCGTAATTTTTCTCGCAAATTTACATTCCATCTGGAAATATATATATGTACACGGGAAAAAAAAAATATTTCCTCAACGCACCCTGATATACAAGTGGAATAAAAATAATAAATAACGATTTAAAAAATAAATAAAATAAAAAAATATTGACTTGCGGAAAAAAATAGATTTTTTTTTATAAATTTATATACTAAATTAATCTAAGGTGGTTAGATTAAGTTTTTTTTCTTAAAAGAGAATAAGGAAATGACTGTTAGTAAATAGACTGATTAAAATGTTATGATAATTTTTGCAAAATAAATTTATATGAAAAGAAAAAAAAATTGCTACGAACTTTCGTCAAGATATCCAACTATGTAGATATCAGGATGCTATATTATATTGGGACAACGGTACACCAGTGGGACAACCAGTTTTCTCATGTTGTACATACTACTTCAACCGGGAGTCTTGTTGCATAAAAGTGAACATGGTTTTTATTTTTTCCAAAAAAAAAAAAAATAGAACTTTCTTATTTCTTATTATTTCAAATAAAGTAACATAAGATGATGTAATTTTTTGAAACGTTCCTTTCTTTCATTCTTTTTCATTTGAAATTAATTTCTTAAAGCTGAAAAAACAGGTTTTTGAATGAAACATATTTTTTTACGAGACATTTATCATATTTAATAAAATTATTTTTTTTTAGGAACAGCGCTGAAACGTTTGTCACACGATTAGCTACGAACTTGAACGAATCATTACAGGATTGCCACAAAAATTTAATTTTGTCTTTACCTGACTTTTCCCTAATTTCCAGACAGAATTTTAACTTTTTTCTTGACACTAAAGAATATTCTGATTCACTCTAAAAATGTATCTAGAAACTCAAAAAAATGTTCAATTTCCAAATATTTGAATTTGAAAGATTTTCAAAATTCAATTATTTCTAAAAATCCATGCAATAATGCTTTTAATATTAAATTAATATCAAAAATTTTAACCGAAATTCATTTTTAAATTAATTTTTATTAAAAAATTCTGCGGATGAATTCAATTATTTAAATATAAAAATAAATAATTTATTCAATAATTGAATTTTATAATAATTTTTGAAAATAATTGAAAACTTTTTGAAGAATTTTAATAAAAATTTTAAAAAATAATTGAATTCCTGAAAATTTTATTACTTTTCAAAAAAATTGAATTTTTGTGATAAATTTTTGATATTTATGAAAATAATTGAAGCATTGGGAAGAAATTTATAAAAAAATTTGAAAACAATTATGAATTCCTGCGAAATTTTTATTATTTTATGAAAATAATTAAATTTTTTTCGTAGAATTTTATTAAAATCTTAATTTTCAACGAGTTCAACTTGAAACCTTTACAAAATTTAATTATTTCTAAAAATTTATTCGAATTTTATAAAAAAAATTTTAAAAACAATTGAATTTTTGCAACGAATTTTAGTAAAATTTTCAAAAGTAATTGAATTCTTTCGAAGAACTTTATTAATTTTTTTTTAAATACTCATTGAATTCTAGCGAAGAATTTTATAAAAATCATTTTAAATAATTGATTTTTTTCGAAAAATTTTATGAAAATTGTGTTTGCAAATTTTATTAAATTCGTGAGAAAATTTTATTATTTATGAAAATAATTGAATCTTTGTAAAAATTTTATATTTATGAAAATAATTGAATCTCTGGTAAAAATTTTATATTAATGAAAATAATTGAATTATTGCGAAAAAATTTATAAAAAATTTGTAAATCATTGAATTCTTGCAAAGAATTTTATGAAAAAATTTGATAATAATTGAATTTCTACAAAGAATTTAATTAATAATTTACGAAAATAATTGAATTCAAGCGATGAATTTTATTAAATTTTATTTAAATAAAATTGAAATTTTGACAAGAAGTTTATTAAAATTGTTGACAATAATTTAATTCTTGAGAAAATAATTGAATGTTTTCATAGAATTTTATCAAAACTTTTCTTTAATAATTAAATTTTTTGATAAATTTTATGAAAATAGTGAATATTGAAAATTATTCTAATGCGAAAAACTTTTTAAAATAATTGAAATTTTGCAAAGAATTTTATTTAAATTTTTCTGAAAATAATTGAATTTTTGGGGAAAAATTTTGCTATTTATAAAGATAATTGAATTCTTGACGAAATAATCGTTCAAATTTTTAAAAATAATTGAATTTTTTCGAAGAATTTTATTACTTTTGAAAATAATTGAATTCTTGTAATAAATGTTTTGTTTGTTTTATTTTTATAAAAATAATTGAATTTTGCAAAGAATTTTTTTTAAAATTCCTAAAAATAATTGAATCTTTGTGAAGAATCTTGTTATTTATCAAGATAATTGCATTAAAACTTTTGAAATAATAAAATAATATTAAAAAATTCCCTGATTTTCCTGACCTGTGGCAACCCTGCATTTAGTTAAGCTTTTTCGTTCATACGACGCTGATGGTTCTATAGCGGACAGTCTTAACAAAATTACTAATTGTAATTTAATTCCGCAAACTAAGTGACAGTAGTCAATTTATTCAGGTGAATTTCTGAGTTATAATTATTTTTTATTCTACAAAAATATTTTTCTAAATATGGTGAGTACGTACCGAAAAAGTCCGTATCTGGAAAACTTTATTAAACTGGAAGACAGTGGTTAAATTTTTTTTTTTTTATCGAAAATACGTTTGTTAAATAAGTACAGAAAATTAATATGAAAAGCCTCGTAAAAATTCAAAATTTTACTTTTCTTAAAACCTCTATTTCTATAAATTTTTCTCTAAAATATTGTATTTTTGTTCCCTGATAAATTTTGATTGTATAACGTTAGGAAAAGTTTGGTTTTCACGAACCCAAAAAAAAAAGAAAAAAAAAAGAGTATACGAAAAGAAAGGACAGTTTCAATAAATTTTGTCGTCAGTTTATGTACCGGTTTCCCTCATAATTTAACTTGTACGTGTACAGATCGTAACTTCGAGTCGATTCGATTTATCGCGGCACCCATACCCACAAGGCACTTCAGTCTATCGATAAAATGAAAGGTCGATGCGACAAAAAGCGACAACGCGATCCACCCCGTCGATGTGCTTCTTGATTCACAGCTGCGCTTATACTTGTATTTGAGGTACTTACAGACAAGTTACTCCCAGTAATTCGTTACTGAAAGAAGTTGTACAATGAATGATATGATTTTCAACAAGATGGCAATTATTATTTTTTTTAAAAAATTATCATGTCGATATGAAATTTAGAAAATATGCTCCTTTATGTATATATATCTATATATATGTATATAATGCACACGACGATATGTTTAGTTTTCAAATACAATCTTTTTTACATTATGAAAAATTTATATGATTAAAAAAAAATTTTTTCATAAACTGTTACTGAATTAGGCATAAATTTTTTAAACTTTTTAGAGAGAATGAATAAATTTTGCCAACTTAAATTACATTTTGACGATGTAGAAATATATAAAAAATTGAAAAATTGTTGAAAAATATGAGATGATTATGTTTGAAAGTGGGGGGATTGTAAAAAAAATTGTTGTCGTCGGTAGAGTGATCAAAAGAGACTATGAGCAGCCACAGCGCTCGACTACCATTCCTGGCAATCGTGAAAAAACAATTTGATACTCATTATCGAAGTAAAGCATTGTGATTTCAGAGAGCTTCCTCGGCGCACAACATGGTCCCGTGTTGTTTGGAGGCTCCGCAAGGCTCACTATGTGCGTGTTTGGATAGGCAGGCAAAAATGCCATTGGACAGTCACCCGAACAATAGTTTGCATCGTACCTGCAACAAACCAGTTGATGGTAATTATAAATCAAATATATTTCACATTTTTCAATTTTTAAACGAAAATTTTAATTTCCTCTGGGCAAAAAATCATGTTTATTACAAAAGAGGTTCTTAATACGGTTTTTAGAACCTTTCAAACCTTTCATGCCGTTCGAATACTGTTCCAAGAACATTTAGATCAATACTTTACTGTAATTAATTAATTAATCATAATTTAATTTACAATGAAGAAAACGAGGGTGTCAAAGCTTAAAATTGTGAATAGGAAGAGTTCGAAGTTTCTGTTAGGCTAAAGTGTCACAAATCAAGGAGACGACGTAAGGAATTTCACTATTACAACATTAAACTACATTCCTGAATAGAGTGTTGGAAGATACCTTATTGGGAAACTTTCGATAGTTTTTCCATCTGCCTAATGTAACACACACTACCAAATGTAATCTACTGTCACGTCACAAGTTATGTTATGTTCTCTAACCAAGCACCTAATATTCTTAGGATATAGTCTGTTTAAATTATTCGTACCGTCGAATTCTGTATTTTAAAATTCCCACAAGGATTCTTAAAGGTTCTCAAGGAGGATTTTAGAGAATCCCTAGGAGGATCTTTAGAGGATCGTTAAGAGGATCTTTAGAGGCTCCTTAGGAGGATCCATAAAGGATCCCTAGGAGAATCTTTAGAGGATCCTTAGTAGGATCTTTAGAGGACCCTTAGGATGATCATTGAACATTGCATTTAGCTAAAACCCATTCGTAATTATCTGTCTAATAAAAAAATCCAAAAGATATTATCAAATTCTTACTTTTTAGGCGCGATTATCCAATCCCAGCCGAATTTCTCAAAGTCAACGGTGAGCTTATAACGACAACACCTTGATTCTTGACTGGCTTCGTCGCAATTGAGACCAACATTCCTCTTGATTCTGCCACCCCTTCTCGAGTCCAGCTCCTGTGTTTGAACTTCCAGATAGGGGGCATTTTCCGCGGCAGGATTTGTTTCAACCGGTTTATAATTCCTCCTGTGATTGCCGCCACCGCCACCAATTTTCAAGGCCACACCAAGATTATCCCTCGGATGCTTAAACCATTCGGCGACCATGCGTCTGAGTTCAATTGTCACCCATTTGCCACGTCTGCCAATTGGTCGCGAGTATTTTGTCGTTAATGGCGGACCCAATAATGGACCACCCGTCTCTGTTGCACCACGAAGAATTCTTTGGAGTGTTATCGTCACTGGAATATCCATATCCAAATCGATTTCCGCCTCGCAGTCTTCTCTTGGCTCAGTGGTACCGTATATCCACAATGAGAGTTCCGCCCTTGTCACTCGATGCTGAATTACTTTATCCGAAAATTTAAAGTAAAGCACGTCCAGGCTGCCCTTCGAATGCCTCAGCCTCTGATCTGAAAATAGAAAATAGATCCAAATTATTAGCTATTATAAAGAATTTACAAATCGTGAACATCATACAGTTATTGATAATAATTAATTAATTACTGGAACTTTAATTCAGTTTCGGTTACTGTTCGGTTTATTCTTCGGATTTTCTGTTACGATATTCGAGTACTACATTTATATACTGTTTTAATTGGAGCGAAAGAAAAATGAATTCAGAATGACATGTTGACTTACATAAAAGTATAGTTTTACTTTAAATAACTTTTCCCGATGATTTATTGTCATACTAAAAATTCACAAAAAGGAGTGCACTTGAGAAAGTGAGCCGTCAATTCTATCAATCTTTATTACAGTTACATACAAAGTAAAACGAAAGCGATTACTCGCCAACGCGGAAGTTATTTTGCAAGACACATAGTGGTATTGTTAATGATAAGTTGAGAAAGCAGCGATCGTACACGAGGCACTGTTTATAGACACTACACGTGGAGTCCAAAAGTGGAATTTTATGCTCAACTTTTGCATCTCTCAATATTTAATAATATAAATATATTTACTAAGAATTGCATCATTTGTTTTCTCAAACGTCAGATCTGTTATTTACTTTGTTAACTTTCTTAATTAATATTTAAAATCACTTTAGCTAGGAAAAGTAAATTTTTATCTTACAAAAGCTTTTCATACCCAATCATCATAATTTTTCAAAATCCACTTTCTACATGACATAATTTAAATTTTTAACACACAGATAAACAGTGCAGAATAATTTTTTTTTGAATGTCTTTCCCAAAAGGTCATGGAGACAACATTTTAAAATTATGCATAACAGTGTATGTAATACGATATACATCTAGCCCAAAAAACTGTCATTTCTAATTTTTTTTTGCTTGTGTAGCGCGAAAAAAAAGTTCAACCCAATTTCTATTAGAGATTTTTTATCTCAACATCCTTCACGAAATGATTTCTAAAATTAGCCTCAAGAAATTAATCAACAGGTTTTTTTTTTGCTGTTAAATTGTCAAGTATCAAACAGGATTTATATTTTTTTTCGTAACTATAATGTTGCTGTTCTAATTTTGTTGTGTAAAAAGGATAATAATATTCTGAATGTCACTAAATATAGTTGATACAATTTTTTCAGTTCAGAAAGTAAGGTTTCATAAATTGTAGTAAGATGTAATTTTTATCTGGTGTATTATCACTACCGCAATGACAATTTTTGCGGTGTTACTGGGTAATATTTTATACCTATAACATTATAGAGAATCTAATTCCCGCAATAGGATATCTCTGATCAGAAATAATCTCTGCCTTGTTAATAATAAATACGTGTGAAACACAAAACATTTTATATTTTTAATTCAAACACGTGTAATTATTAATTATTCAATTAAAGAAAATAATAATTGTACAAAATTGTTTATATTACCACAGAATGTCAAGTTTTCAATTATTTTTCACCTAGACAAATATTTTAACTAAAGTAAAAATGAAAGAAAACTCGGAAAAATCGATAAATTTTTTATTTTTTCATAAAGAATGCTAACTTTACTCAACTTTCAGGGGCTCAAAAAATTGGATAAAGAATTCTATATAATTTTCCTCTATTCTACGTTTATTTAGCTTTATTTTGATCGAAGGTTCATTCATTTTGGTCAATTCCTTCAAGAGAAATTAGGTTTTGAAAATGAAAATGCAAAAATAACACACTGTGGGTGGATAAATGATTTTTCTCTTTTAAATGATAAAAAAATATCTAATTCGATTAATTATTTAATTAAAAAAACGTAGCAAATTGTATAAAATAGCTCAGAATTTCACCTGAAAACACTTTTTTCGTTTGTGTCACCATGAGACATGTACAATATTGTGACTACTATGCTCCGAAGAGTGACACGAAATTAAACGAATCATTAGTTGCAGCGCTCTTCCGCTCAGTCAATGGCGCTAGTAGTACAAGCGAACACGGATGAAGCAGAACTAATAAACTGCTATTGCTAATTTTTTTTTTCCGAAAATACTTTTCGTCACGCACATAAAACATTAAATTAAAAAACCAGTTGCAGAAATATTTTAAAATTACATTTATTTACAAGAGTGAAAATTTTTTTTCAAACCCAGTTACATATTTTATTAAATAAACAAAAGAAAAATATCATTTAAAATTATTTTTGTAAATAATTTTCAATATTTAGTTAAATTAATTAATGTGAGTGCAACGTGCAATAAATATGTTGGCATTAAGAGAGCGACAAATGTTATCGATCATTTTATCGAGTTCAGTCCTCAGACGAACCAGTTGTTGATATCGCATAATTCAATTTCACTTAAAAATGAATCGAAAGTAAAATTCCCGTTAATTTTATTTCAATGTGCATCACACTTTGGAAAATTACATTGAATGTCGAGAGAAAAAAAATTTGACAACAATCTACGATTTTTTTTTGCGAAAAATTAGAAAGTATTTTCCGTAATTCCGAAAAAAAAGTGTGACGAAAATTTGGGTGAACGCATATGATTTTAGTATGACAATTAACTCATATCGAGGTGTAGATATGACAAATGATGACCCTTGATCTTTAGTGAACACTCATATGTAATTTAAATGAAGCAGAAATAATTTTTTAGGATTAAAAAAAATTTGTAATTAGAATGTCGTTTAAGTAAATTAATTTCTATTTTTGAATTTAAAAAACAAATAGCAGGAGAGATAAGTTTTCTTTTTTAAGCTACGCACTCACAATCGATCAGATAACACATTCATTAATTTGTGATCATTGTAGTATTTCACTATCTACTGCCTAATTTAATGTGCTTTCTTGTTAATCTCACTTATATTCCTTTTGCAATTTAAAGCAGGTCAAGAGATATGAGAGTATTATTCGTTGATCACTGGCATCGTGACCTTCGAAATTTGTAACACTCTTCGATTATACCTATTACTTCATCTCGTGTTCAAAGTAAGCTCTCTCTCTCTCTCTCTCTCACGTTTATTCAATATAATTATAAATAAATAATTTATATCCGGAGAATAAAATACTTATTAGTAACGATATAATTTGTTTTTTAATAAATTAAATATTTAGATAATCGACATTTTCGAAGTAGTCACTTCTAGACAAGTTCAGTGTTAAAATATAAATCTATAGCCTATTGAATAAATACGATCATTGAGAAAATAGCTTATCATAGATTTTATAAAAATTAAAAATTCTTTTCCATAATTTCTATAAAAACGATTATTATTCTGACTTTGTAGCCTGATTTGAATTTTAATTTCGATAATAGCAAGCATAGGCATAATTAATTCAATCTAAATACATTAAGATAAGAGCTTTTAATGTGTTATATAATAACATTAGAGACTTGAGTAAACTCCCTACTTCTTCTTAGGTGAATTAAGTATTAGTTAGTATTAAGTATTTTTAAATAATTAAGTATTAGTTTATTTAATTGTTTTTTTATTTTAATTGTTTTGATTAGCTCAGAAATTCACCTGAAAACACCTTTTTTAGACGACTGGCATCGACTTAATGAAATAGATGACCAACTCTTCCTTCCACTTTGGGTAATAATTTCTCCATTATTGTCCACTGCTATTGGTTAGTGTTCTTTTGGACAACTAGCGCCATCTGAGGGGAAAAGCAGTGCAACTAAAAGTCCCCTCCTAGTTGATTGGCTAACAAATCCTTTACTAATTTTCTTCAATATATTCAACTAAACTTAATTTTTTTTCCATGAACGATTATTTACATCACTTATTTGTTATAAACTAAAACTATTAATCTGTTCGTCGACAAAGTGAAGTGAGATTTCCCCAAGGAGACATAACTATCGTATCGAATAAATCAGGAAAGTACTGCTGCACACTAGCCTGGTTATACTACTGTTTCTCTATGTTTCTCAAATACAAAAAAATCAGATTGTCATACTATGTCGCGGTAGTTGCAAGTCGTCTAATCAGGCCATTGGTCAGAACCGCTTCCATGAAGGGTAAGACGTTCAAATCGTTACCGTTATACGTGCGATACGACTTTTTCTATCGATCAATCAGAGTTCGATCTGCTCGATACGATTGTAAACTTTGTGTTCGCAACACTGTCGTTTAAACACCGATTCTTCAAATTTATTATTTTGATTCCTATTCCTTTATTTAAATATTTTCTATTGATTTAAATTATTAAACTATATTAAATTTAAATCAATTCGGAAATATTTTTATTTATCCAAAAGCGATAATTATCACAATTAGAATATTCTTTTTTCCACTTATACGGAACTCCCGTACGACAATTCAATCGATCCACACGTCTATTATAAAGGGAATATTCTGCTACACGTCAGTTACAATTGCGACATTCCGTCCATCAGTGCCTGATTCCATTTTGGGAGAGAAGTCAATTTTCGAAAATTTACACAGAATGACAAGTTAAATTGAAGGGAGGGGATTGAGACATTATTCAGGAAATCTGTCAAATTCGATTAATTCACAATTTCGAGCAGCGCCAACCCCTTTCATGCAAAATTTATTTCGAAACTAATCTTCTGTCAATGAAAAAAGAATTCAAAAAACAAAATTTACTTAATAAAAAATTCATTTTACAGAAATATTTTTAATATCTTCATTATAGAAATAAATATATACAACTATATGAAAATTTTGCGTAAGGAGACTCAATGAATTTTGAGTGAAAAGCAAGTGGGAGAGGTAGAGAGAAAGAAAGGGGATAAAAAAAGAAACTAAAAGAAAGTACAATAAAACAAACTGCACTAAAGTACATCGTGCTTCAACCACGAGATAAATATAGTTTGGCGAACGGAGGTCACTTGCATTGCTCGACGGTCGTGGAAATGTTTTCTTCTCCGTTCGCTAAAGATTTTCAAATGGCTTTTCACGGCTAAATACAGCCAGACAGAATCCTTCAAAAAAAAAAAAGAAGGAGAAAAAATTATTTCCGTCTGACCTTCAAAACACCACGTTCAATTTTTTTACTCAACTCTTTTG